TACAAGCTCCCCACGTCAGTCTCGTGGCCCCTTTCCCCTGTAGCCACCCGGGGAAGGCCAGCACTGTCCTCTGCCCCAGGAGGAGGGCAGCGGTGGGGATGGACACTTACCGCCTCTTCAAACTGGCGCTTGTAGCTCTTGACCTTGCTCTGCAGCTTGTCGATCAGGTCCTGCATCCGTGTCAAGTTCTTCCGGTCTTCCTCAGCCTGCAAGTGCCCCGGGTCTGTTAGCAGGACGCCAGCAGCTCCCCCAGCTCAGGGTCCGGCTGCCCCCATACCTTTATCCAGGAGTCCCAGTGGTGCCAGGGCCCTTCTCACGGAGAGCACCAACCTGCCCCACCGACCCCTGTCAGGGTCCATCCCCTGGTCCTCCCCCTTGCGTCCCAGCACCCAGCTCAGGAGCTGCTGGCAAACGGGCAGGAGGACACAGAGCAGGGGGTGGATGCTGTGCCAGGAAGAACCCTGTCCCACCCTTGTCAGTGTCTGCACGGAGCCCAGAACAAGCCCAGACTGGGCTTGCGGGGGTGTTACTGGGTCACACGAGAGGCTGAGCACAGGGAGAGCTGGGTCGAGTCCTGCTGGGCTGGAGTGGTGCCCGGTGCTGCCGTACCTGGTAGCTCAGCTCCTTGATCCTCCGTTCGTACTTGCGAATGCCCTTCTGGGCTTCGGCCATCTTCTTCTGCTCCATATCCAGCTCTCCCTCCAGCTCCCGCACCTGCGGGTGGATAGAGGCCAGCTCAGCACCCTGCTCCCTGGCGCCAGCACCAGCCCCAGCTGAGGTCAAATCACTTTCCCCAGATCAGAGGAGCCACAGCCAAGGTTAAGCCACCCCAAGCAAAGTCCTGGAGCCAGCCCCAGGCTTGCAGGGCCTCAGGGACTGTCCCTCACTGCCCATGGACCCCTGTGGTACGGACTGGCCCCAGAAGGATGGGACAGTGCAAGTGCCCAGCAGAGCCTGGTGCCACAGGGGCTGGGGCAGCACCAGGAGCCTGATCCTAGGTGGTACAGCCGGGGATCTGCCCCTGCCACCTCACCCTGGCCTCCAGCTTCTGGATCTGCTTCTTGCCCCCCTTGAGAGCAATCTGCTCCGCTTCATCCAGCCGCATCTGCAGGTCCTTGATGGTCTGCTCCATGTTCTTCTTCATCCGCTCCAGGTGCGCGCTCGTGTCCTGCTCCTTCTTCAGCTCCTCTGCCATCATGGCAGCCTGCAAAGCCAAGAGCACAGGGGCATCAACACAAGGCCAGGCAGCCCTTCCAGACATAGGGGCTCAATGGAGAAGCTCTGAGACCCTCCCGTCTCCTCCCACCCACCAGCCCCACAGGGTGCTGGACACCCTCGCTGAACCATACGGCACCGTCCCCACCGCACTCTTACATCCGTGATGGCCTTCTTCGCCTTCTCCTCAGCGTTGCGGCACTCCTGCACCGCGTCCTCCACCTCGCTGCTCAGCTGTGAGATGTCGGTCTCCAGCTTTTTCTTTTGGTTGATCAGGCCCGTGTTCTGTGGACAGAGCAGGGCGGTGCCACAGGGACTGGCCGTTCACTGTAGCCAGCGGCCCCACTGCCAGACGGGCTTCTGCTGCTCCAGTGCCAGCAGAGACCCAAGATCCGGTGGTCCCTCACCTGGGAGTGGAGCAGGTTGACCCTCTCGGTGGCCTCCAGCAGCTCCTGCTCTGCCAGCTTCCTGCTCCTCTCCGCCTGCCCCAGCGC